GCTCGGAGACTGGCTGTGGGGCGGCTGCGGGGATAACGTGGAGTATGGATATCGTTTTGCCAAGGAGTTTGTGGATGCCAAGGAGAGGGAGAAGAACTACGTGAGAGGTTCAGACGAGCAGGCTCGCATGCTGATGAACTTGCAGAACAACGAGGCTGGTCGCAGGGTAAGACGAATGCTGACCTTTTCCTCTTTCTCAGAGGTAGATTCAGAAGGCTTGAGATAGCTAGATACCAAATTACTTGGAGGTTTGATGAGGGATAGTCCACCGATGCCCCAGTAACGGTGTATGGTCACATTTTCTGCATTTTTGTGAATATAACAGACAATATTGACAATATTATATTCCAGTTTTAATGGCAGGCTTCCATTGCCAGCTAAAGCCAGTGAGGTTTTGGGTCTGTTGAGATACTGTATGGCACATGTGTGCAGACATGTAAGCCCTTTCCAAATAAACTAGGTGCTGTTATGGCCCACTTTCAAGGTTTACGTCTCAGAAACTGGCTTCCCAGAGCTGCCAAAGTGACAGGCTGCTGGTGAAAAGAAGAATCTGTTGGCACGTGGAGTTCTCGTCTACTGCCATCATTCAGATTTTTGGGAATGTAAGGCCAGAAGCAAACATCGGATCAGGCTACCTGACTATCTCTAAAACTTACGCCTTGCTCAGTTACCTTGGTATTGCACAAAATAAGTAATTTGCATCTAGGTGACAGACATTTTTTGAGAAGATACACAGTTTTGATCCAGAGACCCCTAGGGATGGAGAATCCATCACTTCCTTTTGTAGTATGGTACCATCATTAATCACCCTGTTTCAACACTACCTCATTATCATTTGAATTTATCTGGCATCAGCTTCCAATCAGTTCTTTTTCTGACTTGTACAGCTAGATCCAAAAGCCTCTTAGTAATCAGAATTTCCTCTGCATAGAAGTATTTATCTACGGTAATTTATTCACTGCTTTCTTGACAAACTAGATTGAGCACTGAAGACACTCACTTTCAGATGTTCTCATCAGCCATCAAATCATTTTCACATTGCTTTAGCATACCTTTTCAGTTTTCCCATATCCTTTAAGAAACTGGATACCAAAATGACATGCTGGGTTCTGGTGTTGGTCTCACTGATGCTGTAAACGTAGGTGAAGTTGTCCCCTTTGTATGCGTTCAGTGTATGCGCATTTGCTTTTTCCACAATTCTTCTGTTTGTGATTAATAGCCTGGAAGGTGTAGCATCTTTCGTATGTGGTACAGCTGTGGAATCCTGCCTCTTTCCAAATGTAGAACAGGAATACTTACTTGAACATTTGTGCTTTTTCCGCAAGGTGTTTAAAATTTTTATCATTCTTCCCTAGTAGTGAGCTTTTCTAAGGTTAATTTTATATTTAATGCATATTAAAAAATCCTATTAAGGGTACTTAGCCTTGCTCTTTTGCACATTCTTAACTAATATCCTTAGTTTCCTTATCAATTTTCTGTCCTTTCTTACTGCTAATTGTTACTGAATTATCTTTCCCTTTCCTATGTATGTCTGTCTTTTCTGCATGTAATTTTGGCTTCATTTTGCCACCAAAGAAGATTTGCTCTGTTTTTTTGATTGCGAAATCAATGTGTCAGGTTGAAGCATTGCAAATACTCCATGCTTCTTTTGCAAAATCAGATTGGGGTAAATTTGCAGTAGGTGGAAAACCATGGACTTGAAAGCTGTAGAACTCAGTGGGTTTTGCTTTGAGGTTGGTTTTTTTTTGGCTTGGAAGGGCAGAGGGTCTGCATTTGCTTAGAAATAGGGGGGCATTCCTCCACGCAGTAGTAGCCTGAAAGTGACATTCTTCTCTACATTACTTGCTTTGAACATCTTGTATGTCTGGAGTCATGAACTTGGATTACTACAGATAAATACCCTGCCTAAAACAGGGAGTGAATATGTTATGGGACTTTTTAACAGCCAGTCCTATTGCCTTGAGGGATCCAGAGACAGAATATGGCCCAACAGTTTGACGCACCAGTTGGACTGTAGTAACATCTGTATTAGAAGATCAAGTCAGAAGATACTTGCTCCACAGCATGAGTAAAACACTACCCTGTCTTGTTATTCTTGTTATATGGGCAAGAATCTCACTGAGCTGTGATTTCAAATGATGACATGGTTTTAGATGGAAGAAAGCTTTGTCCTGCTCTAAGGACAGAGCTAAAAACAGTTATGTCCTGCCTTTACTACAGTGCAGAAAGTGCTTGGAGTGCTACAGTGCCCGTGCTTCTTTGGACTCCATAGACAAGCTCTCAAGGTGATTTCTGTGTCTCCAGTTAACACAGGACCTGGACAAAAGCTTTCCAAAGGGGCCAGCAAAAGACAATGTTATTTCAAGCTTGGTTTGTGTAGACTCTGTAGAACAGATGGCCATAGAAAATAACCTTAGTTTAAATGAACACAAGTCATTTTAGATTAAATTAAATGGAAGTATAAACCAGTGTGTAATTAAGCTTTCAAAGCTTGGATTTCAAAGAACAAACTCTGATAAACTAGGGGAGCCAGTTAGTAAACTCAACCGAGGAACTCGATGTGGAGGAGGTCTGGAACTTTTTCAAGTCAAAGATGCTAAAGCCATTAGAATTCTGCATGCCAAGCAAGAGGAAAAAGCTTGTAGGAAGAATATCCAGACCTCACTGAATGAATAACTACCACAGAGAAGCTGCTAGGAATAGACCGAGAGCCTACTAGGAATGGAAAAAAAGAACTGATTGATAGCAAATAAATAACGAAAAGCTCTGTCTTAGAGGTCAAGAAGTGTAAAGATGAAGTGAGAACAGTAAAAAATCATGCTGAGTCAGACCTTGCAAAGGGTAGTAAAATAAACAGCGAAAGTTTTTTAAACTTTGGAGGAGATTGGAAGAAAGGAGACTGCTAGTCAGTGAGGATGGGGCCGAGTCTAAAGACAGAGTAGTTTTGGTCCCCAAAGTATGTGAGGGGCTTCAAGTTGGAATGGGGGGCATTGCTCATGGGGAGGGGTACCGTATGTCTGCTGCACAATGGAGATGTCTTTTTTCTGTCCTCAACGCTTCTGCCTAGGGGAATAAGCGTTTGTAGTGTAGATTTTTAAATCCCCCTGGGACTGTGCTTTTTGGCGGAAGCCAGGCAGGGTGCCCTAAGGGCAGGCAAGGTCTATCACAGCAGGCAATGGCCGATGGTGCTGGCACCCTGTGGGAACGAGGAAGGCATGAGGAGGCAGCTGTCGTGTTCAGATAGGTAGAGGAAGAGGAGCTGAGCAGCAAGTACTGAAGTTCAGGGCCAGCGGACCTGAGATGGGTGGGATGGTGCAGGGGGCTGCTGATGGAGGGGAGTTTGGGATCTGGTCGAATGATTCAGATGGGAGTCAAGTGGCAGCAAAGGGTTGGAAGAATGGAGGGCTCTGGAGTAAATGAGAGTGGGGCTTTGGGGTGGATTGAGTGGATGTGGATTTGGGGGTAGTGAGGAATGGAAATGCTGGGATCGGGGAAGGAGATGGATATGACAGTATCTGGATGGAGATGAGACCTGGGGTGGCTCTGAGATGGCATTGCTACGGGTTCCAGGGTTGCCTGGTCAGGGTGGTATTTGGCCAGTACAGGGTAGCCTTTCCTCTTGGCTCTTGGAAATAGGTTAGCGTGGGAGCAAAGGAGAAAGGCTGGAAATGGAAATTATCGCAACCAAGCTGGAAGTAAAACTCAGGTGGCGTAAAGCTCTCAAGTCACAGGGAGCGCCCCCTTTCTTTCCTGACGCTCTGAAAGAGCTGGCACCTGGCAGCACAGGCAGCGTGACCTCAGAGGTATTTATAGGAGGACCTGGGGGAAAGGCTATCTCAGAGGAAGAGGCAAAATGGGAAATAATTTGAGAAGATTTTCTCAAAGATTGATCACACAATAGTTTAGAACATCATTGATTTTCGAAAAAGCAAAATAGATCTGATAGGTCTCATTTATCTGAAATTCTGTGAGACATTTAATGTATTTCCCACACGGTAAACACTTGGTTAAATTGGGAAAGATAAGGAAAAATGCAGCAGCTGTGAGGTGGACAAGAAACTGGTTCAAGGAAAGATGTCAGTAAGTTGTGTGAAAGCACGTATCTTGATCTTGACAGAGTTCAATTAGCAGAGTTCTTCAAGGACTTGCCTCAAGACCAACACTTGGTATTTTTGTTTCTCAGCCCCAACACAAGAATTAGGAATGGGCTGATGAAATTCGCTGATGATGCGAAGGTGGCAGGTATTATGAATACAGAGGAGAATCTGAATTTTGCACAGCAGCTAATGACATACAATAAAACAACATTAAGACCATTTGAGGTCTTGTATGAAAAACATTTTTAGTCATTAGGAAACGAGTAGAAAAGAATTGGGCGCAGCAGTCAGCTGCAGATGACTGCAGATGTAATGTGGCTTGGAAGGTGGTAAATATCCTATAATGTAGTAGGGAAAGTCTTTTCATAAAACATGGGGGAATACTAATGCCATTGTATTGAGCTCTCACAAGGCCCCAAAATATCGTATGTTCTCATATTTTCAAGCAAAATGACCTCAGACTAGAAAAGGCTTGTTATGGTTGACCCAAGGGATAGGAATCTTTTCTTAAGAAAGTGGGCTAGAATAGCTTGCCATGTTTAGCCTAGCAAAGTGAAAGTTGAGAGAGGATATGACTGATGTCTGTGTTAGTGGGAGAAATAATAGGGGAAGAAAAGTACTTTTTAAGCAAAAGGCCAATTTGGCACAATAGCAAATGGGTATAAAGTGAATACATTTAGGCTGGAAATTAGAAAAAGATACTTTATCATTGGAATAGTGATCAGAATAATGGTGGCTGAAAACCTAATTGCTTTTAAAAGGGCACCCTATACATTTAAGGAAAATATTATCTGAAGCGATGCCTACAATAGCAAGAGATCATACTTAATAACCGAGGAGGTCCCGTCTAGTCCTGCATTCCTAAATGTTAAGTTTTCACTTCTGAGATTCTGCTTTTGGAAGTAGGAAGGTGCACGTGTAACTCCATACTCCCAAAAGTTGGTGCTGAAAGAAAGGAGACACGGCAGTGAGCATTGCTAAGTGGCCACCAGGTGCCATCCCACATACAGCCTTGCCCCGCTTTCCCAGCCAGTGTTTCAACTGATGTCTTCTGATTTCTAAGCAGACTTTTGGCACGTCCCCTCACTCAGTTTCCAGTGGGTGAGAAAGTTCTCCTTGAACCCTGAGGAGCTCTGGTGGCGGGAGAGAAGATCGTCTCCCTGCTCTCTGTGGTTCTCAGAAGGAGCTGAGAGGGACAGGAGGGGACCAGAGGTCTTTTATCTTTCGGGCAGTTGTGACCCCATCACCCCTTCACTCCACTTCAGAGTCCTTGTGGTAGTGGCTCCTGGCTTTATTGCCCTTGTTTGTTTGTCTTTGGCTGTTATCTCAATACGTCCTTTCCTTCCATCTGTCTTTTTCTTCCAATTGGTCTCCATTACCCTCTCTTATTTCCCCCCGCTCCTTATCTGTCGCCCTGTCTGGCGAACTGTGGCGGTCAGTCCTTCCGCGCTGTTTACCCAGTCAGCATATGGCAGGCCTCAGTCATCAGTCACTCGAGCCAGTGCCAGAAGAGCCTGGAAGGGGGTCTGGCTAATTGACCACATAGGAATTCCCCATTAATTCTCTTCCCATTCCCATTCTTGCAAGAAAAGAATTGGAAGAGAACTTGGGCTTATGGGAAGCGGCTTTAAGCCTTTCCATTAGAGGCATTTTCAACCTGTTTAAGTGGCATAGCCATCGATCAGACCCTGTCCTCAGAACTGCATGTGGGGTCTGCTATTCTTTACCTTGACCTGAGCCTGGTCAGAGAGGAATTCTCCAATTTCCTCTGCTTTCTCCCCATCCGGGCAGCAAAGGGGGAGAGTAGGAGAGCCGTTTAGCGGCTGAAGCTATGGTTACCTCCGCAGGACATTGATAGTGGGAGCTGCGGGGGCTGAGTGGCGCTGTGCTTACCTGTGATAACTGGTAGCATTCACATTCCCCAGCACAGCTACTACCCACATGGGCCAGATGTTTTGAGCATCAGTTGCTTAAAGCCAGGTCGGAGTGAACTCAGTCCCATGACATTAACTGAGAAGGATCGAGTTGCAGTGTTTTTCTAAAGGAACAAAGCCCAGGATTAGGAAGAATCATAATACTTTATAAAAACACATGCAAGGGCAAGGGAGGCACGAGTGGCCTGGGATTTGACAGAACCATAACCAAAAAGTGCTACACAAGCTTATAACAAGCAGGCTGGCAATGCAGTGAGGATATAGTAAGTGTCTGGGGCTCGGGAAATTCAGCTGTAGCTCTGTCTGGTTATAGTACAGCAGGAATCCTTAAGTAACGGTGTGGTTGGTCCTCTGCAGTTGTAGTTCGATCCAAGACAAGTGCTTAACTCCCAGCCTGTAGCTGTTACATTGCGCCGTGAGGGATTGCCTCAGTAAATTGAGCTCTGAGGAGCAGAACTAAAGCTTCTCTGTTTTAAGGACTCACTCCATTGACTTTCTTGGGAGCTGGATTGTCCTCCATGTGATTTAGCCATTAAGCCAAATTGAATCTTCACTAGCTGTCAAAAGCAGTAGATGTTAGTTAGACCAGGAGCAACCACTTGTTGTGAGAGAACTCTGACCTCTCGCTGCTGGTCCAGAACGTAGTCGTAGGCAGAAGGTTTTGCCTGCAGTATGCTCAATTGCCTTAATCACCTACTCTTTGGCACGCGAATGCAGAGAGCTGGGAAGCTTTCTTCTGTGTCAGTGAGTGAGGCAGAAAAGAAACCCCAGTGTTTGGCTGCTTTCTTCAGCAGAAAACCTGGCTAGAAGACATATCCCTGTCTCCTTCAGAACATCCTATTTTTTTTTCTCACATTCCTTGATCTCCCCCACCAGATACAGCTGGTGGTAATTTTGCAGCTAATGCCAGATAGCTCTGCTTGGCACGTGGGATCTGGCAGAGGCACTTCCCTGCGAACGTGCAGGATGGTCATGGGAGAGCAGATGTGAGCCCGATGGTGAGAGCGCGATGAGCAAGGGCTGGGGGGGTAAGCTGCTGTAACACGGCGTAGCTCTGATGGCGTGGGGATGGCAGCTCTTTGCTTCGCAAACTCTGTCAGTGCCTGTGAGTGCTGACAGGATCTCATGTAGCACGCGGTTTTGTACCTGTCTCTGAAATTAATGGAAAGAACAAACCCAACCTGCGTTTTTCAGTTTATTTTGAGCTTTGTTATTCTAGAATATTTTTCAATATTTCTCTCTCCTCCCAGCTAGTGTGGGGAGGAGGAGAGTATCCTTTACGTCATGTACTTTACGTTATCCTTTCTGTCACGTACTTGCTCTGCTCAGGGTTTAACGCTCACTGGCCTAAATTTTCAAGACTATTTGTTAATTTTGATGCCGGATTTTCAGGGGTATGATGCATCTACAGCCCCCGCAGACTCCTGAAAAAGCAGCTGAAAGTATCTCGGAGAAGACAGCACCGAAAGCTTGCATTTGCTGTTCGAAACGTAGGCCCTTCTGCGTGGCGACAGTCCTGTTAGCGTAGGGAAATGTCTGGACACAAGATGGCGCAGGTTTGCAGTTAGGGCTTGCAGCTCAGCCCTGCTCTTCAAGGAGGGGCGTCTGGTTAACACCTCGGGCAGGGGAGAGCTGCCCTGCTCCAGGATAGAGGTGTTCATCTTTCTCACCACCACTGCCACTCCGGCTTGCTCCTCCTCTCTGGAAAGCGGCGCCTCCTCCGGACACTGCCCCTGAACGAGCTCCTCTCAGCAGAGGCGGAGGGAAAGGGTGTGGGTCCGTGGATTTATTTCAAAAGGATGCAGATGTATCCCAGCAATGATAGCGTGGGTTCCTGGTGCAGGTGCTAGGAAATGGGCAGGTTCCCAGGTGTTCCCTTTTCGCAGCTCTGAAGGGAAAAACATGCAATACTGCAGTGGTCCGTGAGACTGGGCGAATTTCCAGAGTCCACGCGGAGAGGACTCTCCCCCTTCTTCTTTCCCACTCTTGGCCCTGCCTTCAGGTCAGAAATCTGCCAGGGGAAAAGAAGGTGGGGTGGGGAAGTTATGTTTGGAGGCAATGTGACCAGAAATAGAAATATTTAGGGAACAGGAATGCAGCAGTTGCAACAGGAGGAAGAGGAGACTTTTGTGTCTTCTGAAGGGTGAAACAACAGAAATGGGGGGATAATCAAAGCAGTTATGAAAACGTGATGAATTCATTGTAATTAAGCCAGCTGCCAGTGCAAGCAGGAATAAATGCAGCTTTGCCTGATTGCACTCCTTTTCCCGCAGGCCGTGTACAAGCTGGCGGACGTGGCCTGCAAGTGCCATGGTGTGTCGGGCTCCTGCAGCCTCAAGACCTGCTGGCTGCAGCTGGCTGACTTCCGCAAGGTGGGCGACCTGCTGAAGGAGAAGTACCCAGCCCGGACTGCGCAATGAGACCACTGGCCACTGGCTTCCTTTTCCCGCAGGCCGTGTACAAGCTGGCGGACGTGGCCTGCAAGTGCCATGGTGTGTCGGGCTCCTGCAGCCTCAAGACCTGCTGGCTGCAGCTGGCTGACTTCCGCAAGGTGGGCGACCTGCTGAAGGAGAAGTACGACAGCGCCGCTGCCATGAGGATCAGCCGCAAGGGCAAGCTGGAGCTGGTGAACAACCGTTTCAACATGCCGACACAAGAGGACCTGGTCTACGTCGATCCCAGCCCGGACTATTGCCTGCGCAATGAGACCACTGGCTCGCTGGGCACTCAGGGCCGACTGTGCAACAAGACCTCAGAGGGCATGGATGGGTGTGAGCTGATGTGCTGCGGACGGGGTTATGACCAGTTCAAGAGCGTCCAGGTGGAGCGTTGCCACTGCAAGTTCCATTGGTGCTGTTACGTCAAGTGTAAAAAGTGCACAGAGATCGTCGACCAGTACGTCTGTAAATGAAAAGAGCCACCAAAGCAACAAATCTATATTATATAAATCTATATAAATATATTTTATATTTGTATAAATAAACAGATGATGATAATAATTAAAGAAGCTTATTTAAGAGACATTTTGGTTTTGAAATTTCCCCCATCAGGCCGGCTGGTTTGCCATTCCTTCAGTTCTGCTGGGGAGTTTGTCTTTGGGTGCATCTCCCCTTGGATGTTTCAGTCAGGGTGAAGAGGCTGAGGAGGTGCTGACAAAGTGAACTCCCCCCTGCACACAAGCACATACTATTTCATTACAGAAACAAAGCCAGCGAGAAAGGAAAGAGTAGCTTCTTTCTGCTCTCTCTCATCGGTAAATCTCAGCATTTTGCATAGTTATTCCACACCTGAAATTACAGCCAGATGTGGGCAAGTCCTAGTTATCTGAGTTTCAAACCCTGCCACCCCACTAAACCCACTGGGGAATTTGGAACCAATTCTTGGTCCCTCTAAAGGGCTTTGTCACTTTAGAGGGAAGGTTAGCTGAGGCTCCTTTACAAGAATATGGCTTCAAATCCAGAGTCCTGTAAACCATTCCTGGGTGCTGCACAGACCACAATGTGGTGGAGGAAGGTTTACGACCTGCTGTTGTGAGGAAGGAAGGTGTGACCTGTGGCTGACCAGTGCACAGCCTGGGAGTCCCCAGCACCTAGCTCTTCTGTACCGCCTGGGCAAAGGGGAAGTCTGTCCAGCTCAGACTAGGTGGCTATGTGCATGAGGGAAATTATTTTTTTTTCCTTTTAATCTCCATGCTGAAACTTAATTTGTCAATACAGAGGAGAAGCTGCCCGTGCCCAGGGATGTTTGCAAAGGCAATATACTTCATATTTTGTCAGTAGAAAGACGCATTGCACGCACACACATGCACGTGACTGCATAAGCACTCCTCATACCGCTGCCGGTTTTCCTCTTTGAACTGGATGCAGGTGGTCACCTTGTTCAGCTCTATTAAATCCTCCTCACCACCATCCCAGATGTATAGTTTGTCTTTAACATTAAACACCCCTCAATGAGATTTCTTTCCCTCTGTTGCTTGTGTATATGTGTGGTTTTGTTTTATTCTTTTGGTGAGGTGTCTTTTATTTTCCTGCTCTGTATTTCACAGTCCGGGGACTATGCTCTTCCCCAGCATAAGCTAACCACAGATACGTTCGCTCCCAGAATGTGGGCGTATGTTCACCGATGGAAGTCTTTTCTGTGTTTTTCATTGGTAATAAAAGAGTATAATAAAATTGTACTAGGGCAGAAGGCATTACCAAAGTCTGCTAATCAGTCTTACCAAGTTGGAATTTTAGTAGAATCCAATTTATAAAGCAGGGAACAAATGCTGTTTCTAGCACAAGACATTTCCTGTGCCTCTCAGCATCTGCAGAGTTCATTTGCAGTCAGAACAATCAAGAGAAGCCAGTCCCCAAAATATAAGGGTTTGCTAATATACATCCTCTTTGTTACTGACATTTCAAGGATGTTGGGGTTTTTTTTCCCCTGTAAATTTTAAAATGCACAAAATATGCCAATAAGCAAAGAGCCAGTCATGAAGATTATTATTTTTATATTAAACCTCTGTTTCTTATAAAGCATTGCAGTTTCACAGATTCCACCATTTCAACCACCAGAGAAGAATTTATATGTACCTTTCATACTTCAAATATTTGAGGACTCCAGAAAAGCACAAGGAAGAAAAATTATGTTTAATAATTAGGAGCTGTTGTTTTTTTAAACCAATGTGTCCAGTTTTTATTTTATTTTTTTTAATCCAACAGGCAATATATTTGCTGGCATCCCAGAATGCAGTTTCTTGGAATATAAACAGTGGCCTAGATTTATTTTATTATATAAAATCCAAAGCCAGTGGTATTGTAATTCAAAGTAACGGAAATAGTTTTCCATGCATGGAAAAAATGTGAGTGCAGTGGCCTGATCCAACTCCCATTAAACTTCAGTGGGAGCTGGCCTGAGCCCAAGATCGGATCAAATGTGTGAGCTATTCACTCCTGGGATACTATACGTTTCTAGCCCAGTAATAAAACTTACTCTACCTTGGATACATCTAAAAAAGACCTTTCCTCCCACCACCCTCACCTCATGTTCTTGTCCATCCTTATTGCGTCAGTGCTTAAAGGTGTCGGCTATTTGTATATGACACCCTCAGGAACTGTTAATGTGTCTAATAATTCAAAATGATTTCATTTGGCCTTCCCGATAAAGACCACACATTTAAGGGAGTCACAACTCTCCTTGCAGTTTGGCACCACAATTAATTTTGTGGGTGTAAACAACTTTGGGAGCGGAAAAGTTGGCATTGTTAGGGCTAGTACTCATCTGGGTGTCCTGGGACATGTCCTTCTTTTTCCACCTAAAGTTTTGTCTGGATGGAAAAAAGATGATTTTTGGCCTTTTGTCCCAGCACTCTGGACCGCTGGCAGCCTGGTTGGAGCCAGCAGTTCCTATTGGACTGGGACCATATAGCGATAGGAGAGAAGCAACCACTGGATTTCTTTCCTTTTTTTCCCCCTTTTTTTACAAGACCTAGGTTTCAGTCTTCTCGACTTTCTGGGAGTTTTGTATCCAAAAATTTGATCCCACTAAACTCTAGCTTAAAACTTAATTTATATGGCGCCCACACATAAAAGAACCTCCTTAGGGTGGTAGTAAGTATAAAATAAGAGCATAGCCGGTTTGGTTTGATGCAAAGCCAATGAAAGTCAAGCAGAAAGCTGTAGCAGAACTGCTTCTTTACCATGAAGGTTAAAAAGTGATGGATTTTAAGTTGTGCCTTGTTAGATGCACGAAGTGGTACAGGGATGTGGGGGTAGGGAGCTAAGCTTGATTCTGAGCTCTGCCGATTATCTGCTTTGTAATCTTCAACAAGTTACTTAATTTCTTTGCATTTTAGCCTTCAGCCTCCTCCTGTATAAAATGAGGAGCAGAATACCTCCTTTTTCTGTAAAGCTCTTTGAGAAATATGGCTGAAAAAAAAAGGCAATTGAAGGCCTACCCTCTACGCTCATTAACTCTGGCAGGCAGACAGCTGTATCCCCATTGTGCAGGGACACGCTCAATTTGGGACAAAGAGGCTCAGCGGCACCTCGGAGGGTCAGATGCTCGGAGGTGGTTGCTGGGGGGCTCAGCAGGAGCCTCGGAGAGTCTGTTGCAGTGAAGCCCTACTCCGGCACAACGCTGGAGGGAAGACCGTTCTACAAAAAAGAGGTGAACTCGGGGCTTGTTTATTTATAGGTATTGAGTATCTGGTAGCGAGTGAGGCTGAGGGAGGTTTGCCTGGTTTCTGAATCAAATACCTGCCTGCTCAAATTCTGTTTGCAGTTCATATGGATAAGATATTCACACAATACACTATTATATAGTGTGTGCTGGTAACCGGCTGCCACATTCCAACCCTGAAGTCACTGCACTTCAAGGCTGATAGAAATGACCACCCGTAAGTCATGTAAAACTAAAATATTTTGGAGTTAAAGGCACTATGCAAATATACGGTTATTGCAAGTCAGTGAACATCAGCTTCTAAACGGAGCAGAACAGGATGCAAATCTGTCATCATTTTCCAACCGGCTAGTAATACATAAGTTATAACGTGAATGAATGAGGCCTTAGTATGTTCTGCTGCAAGGTAAGCTAAGCGATAGCTGATCCCAGAACAAACAGAAACTTTCATTTTATATTAATTATGGTAAAGAGATAGTGGCAGGGTTGTGAGAAAATTTAAATAAACCTTTTAACACTGCTGGACTCTAGGCCATTTGCATCGTTTGGAGGCACCCATTCTTTGTCCCTGAAAAGCCTGTGCCTACCCGGAGCTCAATGTAATGGAGAGGCTGCTGCCTTTTGCAATTCAGGAAACAGCGAAGTTGAACCCAGACACGTAGCGTGCACGTAACTTATACTTTCTATATGGACCCAAGTTTTGTAGCCCTGACAAAGCACAAATGAAGCAGATCTTGTTCAGTCATATAAAATCAAACATGCAAGGGCCTCTCTCCGCTCACTTGACCCTAGCCAGGGAGAAGCTTAGTAGGTTTAAATTACGCTGTGGGAGAAATTCCTAATCACCTGCGGCTACAGAAGTATAGACAGTATTTTCATCAGCTGACACAGAACATCCCAAGGAGACCTTGGGAAATAACTTCCAGCATCTAAAGGGCGTTTCTCAAGTGTCTGTCACAAGGTTGTCCAGAACCAGCTGCTTATATACGGTCATTCACTTTCGTTTAGCTTTTGTTTAACTACATTTCAGGTTAAATAGTTTCTAGAAGATACTCTATGAAATCAAGTTCGCTGAAGGGCAGGCTCTGAAGGAACTGTCCTACGACAGACAGTGAGCAGATGTAAACATAATACTGGATCCCCTTCTCCTCAAAGGTAGTCTCTGGCTATGTCTAAACCATGGGACCCAGAGATGCGTCTCATCTCCTTGGTCCAGATGTGTACCCTGGCCATGTCCTGACTCCCTGCCAGGGCAGCGCAGGCACCAATACCCCCTGTGCAAAGGCTGATGGATGCAGAGACCGTTGAGCAGGTAGCCTGTCCCAGCTCCAGTTCCCGCTCCAGTGTAGATAGCGGCTGGCTCTGGGACTGGGCCACGTCGTGAGCATACCAGCTCCGAAGTCATATGACCAGCCTCAGAGATAAGCAAAACAGATTTCTGTGGCCAACAGGACACATACCGGAAAGAACAAAAAGAATCATGATCAGCCGTTGTAAATCCCCAAATAACAACAACAGAACCCCCAGTGTAATACAACGATCACAGCATGCTTATGCCTTTCCCCCCATTGTCCATCTTCTCCTGCAGGGCCTGATGCTGTTACTATACCCTCTTCTTTCTCAGCTCTGTTTAAATGACAGTTGAAATCTATTTTTTTGCATTAGGATACAAAAAGGCATGACTTACAGCATCTCCTCAAAGACGGAAGGAGAGAAAGGGGGAACAGAGAGTAGGGTCAGCATTCTCTTTCCTCCATGAGCAGGGATAAAATGTAGCAGCCATAAAATGCAGTACTAAATACTGCCCTGTGACACTCAAGTTGGACAACCCGCCCTAAGTGTCACAGTTACCCC